TTTAAATATTATAATTAATTATTAAAAAGTTATTATAAAGTAATAAAATTTCAGTTAAACTACTCTATCTTAACAAATTAATCAGCCACCGAAGAAAAAAAAAAAAATCAGCCACCGAAGAGGGCCATACGGCCCACACCTAGAAGAAAACTCCCTATCTATAGAAAAAAAACTTTTTTGACAGTAGAAACTTAGTTAGTCGAACTGTGTTAGTATCTGCTACCAAGCATGACGGCTTGAACTCGAGATAAGGATGATTTCTCTATTTTTTTATTGAGAAGCGCGGCCCAGCCAGTGGCTTGCAGGGGAGAAATCAACTCCTTATTTATAGAATTAAATTCATCGACTTCTTGTAGCAAGCAAAAATTCACAACTTTTACCCGATCACTTATTTATTTGGGTGAAAAAAATTTAAGTTTTTTTAAATAAGATATTAAATTTAAATTTTATAAATAAAAAAATAAATACTGAAAAAAAATTTTATAATAAGATTCGATATGATTCAATTTTAAATTTATCAAAATTTAATATGATTATTGAATATAAAAAAAATAAAAAAAATTCACAACCTTAATAAATTCTTAATTAAGTACTTGATTTGACTCGTGCAACCCTCTTTAAAGACATATTCCCACTGGAAGTTAACGGGAAAATATTAAAAAAAGAAAAATTCCGTCCAATGAATTTCTTTAGCTGTACTTTCAGCCCAAAAATTGACCCGAATCTTTCCGTCAGTCAATATTACATTATTATTAATTCTAGTTGAAAAAATGAGAAACACCTTTCACGAAGTACGAATAGTCAAAGGCCAATTAAAGTAAACGCTCCAATTTTTTTTTTGGTAAAAAGGACGGACTCTTTTTCATTTAATAAAAAGCTCCTTTCCAAGTTCAAAAAAAAAAAAAAAAAAAAAAGCTCCTTTAACTATTGTTTTAAAAGTACGTAATAATGACATATTTAATTAATAATATATTTAAATTGATAAAAATAAAAAGAGAGAAAAGGAAGAGAAAAAATAATTTTATTTAGTTATTAAAAGAATTAAAAGAGAAAGAGAAAAAAAAAGCAATTTACTTTATTTTTAAAAAAAATTATTTATTTATCTAAAAAATCATAATATATATAAATAAAAAAAATTACTATTGTTAAAATTAAAAGTAATCCGATGTAACTTTAAAAGGGGCATTTGTTCATACAAATAATTATTTATCTCTAATAT